CGGGCGCTGCTGATCGGGCGAGGCGTGGCTCGGTCTCTGGATTCTCGACCTCCCCCCCCCCGTGACCCCTGCTGGCGCCCAGCCTCAAGCCCCGGAGCTACGCCGTGCTAGTGGACACGCGTCCACCTGAGGTTCCCGAGTGCTGTCCCCGCTCTCACCGGGGCGGTGACCGGCCACGAAAAAGAAGTGCGGTCCGTGCACGTGTCCAAGGCCAGCACGGGAGCCCCGCATGTTGATAAACCAAGTGTGGCTTCCCCTCCCCCAAAATAATAATGCATAAGGACATAATAACAACTTATCAAACATTCTTTAACTGTTCATCACAGAAAAAGAGAGAAACCTCAAACACAGACACGTATTTGATGGCCTGTTGCGCATCGGGAAGCGCCCCACAAAGGAGTCAGATATCTCACATCAACAGCCAGGTATTTAGAATGTCAGATGGGGCGAGGTATTTGTGTTACCGTTAAGGGAAATAGGTAAAAGGGGTATTAGGGAGGACGTACGGTGTAATCAGCTCAGCAATGTGACGTGATGGGCGTTCCTGAGTAATGAAGGTTATCACGGGGGCATCTGGAAGAGGAGGATTGTAGACACTTGAGTTGGGAGGAACAGGAAGGAAACCAATGCAGCTAGAAAAGGTAGAGCAAGGTGGAGAGCAGACAATACGGACAAAAGACAACTTACATTAAAAGTAGAATCCTAGCTGGGTGTCGTGGTATACACCTGTTTTCTCAGATATAGTAGGAAGCATGAATATGAGGCTTAGTGTCCAAACTGACTAGATAAAAAGCAAGACCCTTAAAAATAACTACAGCAGCACCAGGCACGGGTGAAAAGGAGAGAAGGCTGTTAGTATCATGGCTTCCCTGGATCTAAAGTTTCTGTCAGGCTTGGCATTGTATGAGAAGTTGAACAAACTAATTGTGACTCCATTTGTGTGATAGACTGGGATAAAATTACCTTGATCTCACTCAGCACACTTTTCTTGGAAGGAAAAGAAATATAATGCATGCTCTAGTAGTCTTTCATCACAGACATCTGACTTCTGCAGCTTCCTGCCACAATTTGATGAGACTGGAATTAGATATAATCACTGTAAATATCAAGCAATCCATTATAATGAAGATGGCATTGTGACAAGGAGAAAGTCAGATATAAGGGTGGTAGAGGAAAATCCAACTAGATAGTTTATCACTACAGCTAAGATTTAAAAATAAACTACCCTTATCAGAAAATTTTCTGAAAATAACTTTAGTTTTTCTACAGTGTAAGTAGTTATATTCCCTCTATGATATTGACAATTAAAAATGTCAGTGTCACACTGGCAATAAAAAGGAGGAACACACTGAAGGCTTTTGTTTGTCAGGCTGTGACCCAAATATGTGACAGGGGAACCCAGGATTCCAGCACAATTCAAAGGTTTTTGGAAGCTGTTCTGGTAGAATCATGCAAATTATAGGTTTTGAGTGAAACATACTACTGCCACCTTGTGGCAACCACTAGGATTCTTGTTAAAGTTCCCGTCCCAGCGTGCTATGGGTCTGGCATTAAAAGCAGGACCCTTCCCTTGACACTTAAGGGTGTTAAGTTACTTTAAGGTACAAACTACCTATTATGTTCTTGGTAATATCAGGAAGCTGTTACAATAAAGAGGAAGCTGAGCAAAGTTCTCCCAAGAATTCATGCCAACCCACGTGTCTCTGGAGCATTAGGACACCTAAGCAAGTAGCATCTCTGCTTCAGCAACCAACCACCAGCCCTCTGCTGTTGCGGAACGCTCTACATCTCAAGATGCTTTCTACCAAAGTACAACAGCGTCTCAGTTTATCAGGAAGCTACCCAGTACGGTAGGAAGTTAGTAAAAAAAAAAAAAGTCTGCTAGTGGCTTCCACAATCCGGGGGAAGTCCGCGTAACCGGCTGAGAATAATGAGAATAATGCACCTGATTGACAATGGAGGAAGGTCTCATTTTTAAAATGTTCGCTCTGGATAACATTGGAAACAGTCGTAGACAGCAAGTGGCAGGAAGAGGAGCATCCCGAGGAGTGCAGGAAGCATCCCCAGGGGGTGGCAGGGATGTGACAGGGACAGCGATGAGATGCTGCCATCTGTGGCGAGCTCCGCTGCTGTGCCCCCAGCCAAACGCGAGGACCCGCTGGTGTCCGGAAGCCCTCGAAGCAGTGAGGAGCCGCGATGCCTTCTACCCGAGCCGTTCCTCACCGGGGCTCGGGGGACACGTCGGAATCATGCCCGGATTCCGGAGGAAAACCGCGGTCCTCGCGTGGAGCCAAAGCCACGGCGCGCTCGAAGCCCCGCACGTGGAGGGATTCGCTTCCCCGTGTCAGGGGCGTGCCCGGGGCCTGTCCAGGGCCAGTCGGGGGACCGTGTCCGGGGCGTGTCCAGGGCCAGCGGGGATGGGGGGGAAGGGGGGAACCCGTGTCCAGGGCCAGTCCGGGGCATGTCTGAGGCCTACCCTGGATGTGTCCGGGGCGTGTCCTGGTGTGTTCTGGGTGTGTCCAGGGCCTGTCCGGGCCGTGTCCAGGGCCAGTCCGGGGCGTGTCTGAGGCCTGCCCTGGACGTGTCCGGGGGAACGTGCCCGAGGCCTGTCCGGGGCTCTGCCCGTGCCCGGCGGACGGGCGGCCCCG